CCCCCCCCCCTGTGAAACAGTCCTGCCACCCTACAGCTGCAGAATGACTGCGTGGGGGTGTAGAAGTGTGTGTGTGTGTGTGTGGGGGGGGGGCGTCATACACCCCGCCCCCCCCACACACACGCACACACACAGAACCGACTTAATTAAATGGAATTGTGTGGATTCAAAATGGTTGCTTGCAGTCCAATGAAGCTATAATAAGGTGATAAAATCAAGTCAATGGCATAACAGACTGGAGTGGGTTGTTTACATCCTACCCTGGTCCATGTTTTGGGCAAGGGGGTCAGCGTGTTAGTCTTCAAAGATGGTCAGCAGTGTGGGTGGCATTTTATGGCATCTTCTCATCGATTTGGGGTTGGGGGTGATCAGAAAAAGACCCCTCCCCCCACACACACATACTGTATTTTCATGAAAATAAATAGATTTGTGTTTTGTTTCGATTAAAGGGGCTATCAATCTTTGGATATTTCTTTTCAATGGGTCGAGACACTAAGACAGTAACATGACACCCGCGTAAAAAAAAAAGAAAAAGCATTTACCTCTTGTCAGATAGTTGCATGGAAGGGATTTTCGTTGTTCAAATCGATCACATTCCAAACTTAATGTCATTGGTTTTAAATTAGCAAAATACACTTGCATGCAAACGGCTGCCATACAAATGTTATATGTTTCAGATTTGAGTAGTTTGTAGTTGAACATTGATTTTATGCATTGAAACTTACCTTGTCACACATACAGTATCACACTATTAAGATAAATATGGAAACAATTTCTTAAATTTACATTTTATTGTTTTTTATGGTGCTGTCCAAACAAATATTTGGGAGTTAAATTGATTTTTAGCAAGAGGCTTTCTTGCCAAAGTATTTTAGAACTGTATGGCAGACTCGCCCACCACTGCTATAACGTATGGACGATCTCCAAAATAAATAAATAAATGTCATTCAGCCAAAATATTGTTACAACTGAGCAAATAAAAACAATCTTAATGTCATGATAATTCTTAAAAATACATACTGTATAACACAACAAGGCGAAATTAGTACACGACTTGGCAGCAACAAGACGGTACTGTTGACTCTGTCTTAACCACTTTGCTGGCTTAATAAGTTTTATGTAATCAACAACACTATTTCTTGGGGAGCATTAACACACACAAAAAAAATGTAGGGTGAACTCAAAATTTCCAGGCAACAAAATAGCAAATAAACTAAAGGTTTTAAGTTTCGCTGCTGCGAAAATTGGCTTTCGTGTATTTTACACGAAAGAGCTTAGAGAATGGTTGTCCCTTTTATTTAACTCCAACTTAAATATATAAGTAAAAACAACCTGTTTGCTTTGTTGCATGAATTGTTACCATACATGTCACTTATTTATATTTTAAAGTTTTTCCAACTTCAATTTCTGTTTTAGGCCCAAAATAGATTTATTTATTTTTGTTTTTTTTTTACAGTGGGCCACTCTTCTGTAACAAAAGTATAGAAATGTACAGTATACATTGGTGGAATGAGTCTGGAAATGTTTGATTTTGAATGCCAAGGAACCCTTGTGGTGGTGCACCATCTTGGGGGACAATGATGGCTTTTTTTTCCATTTTGAAAGGTGCCTCTCGCTTGGTATATCCAAAAATATTTTTTGTCGTGAATGATCATGTGATATGATTTGGCAGTTCAATTGGCCCTAAATGTCCTGCTGTTGCAATGCTATTCATTTGCAATTTGACATTTAGAATTGCAGCCAAATTCACTGTCAGAGAGCATGCTCAAGGAAAAAAAAAACGTAAAGGATTTGAAGTAGAAAAATCACATTTCTAAAAATTTTCAATCCAATTAGTCATACACAACTAATTCGGATGCAATTTACCACTTATCTTCTGGTTCAATTCAAGAGAAATGATAATTCTAAAATTAGCTATAGTCATGACTGTTAGCAAACGGAAATTGCTTGAAACAAAAAGGACAGACATAATAAATAAACTAAAGCCACAAAAAGGTGAAGTGCTGACTGGAACAGTTGGTTGTTAGTGAAAGCAAGACAGCTATTAATGTCACATTAATTTAGCCAACGCTGAGCTGCTTTTTAATTAAATTGGTAAAGTTTTGGTCTGCTATAGGCCCAAAGTCCCTAGTGCGGTTAACCATGTTCAGCTATAAAAGGTCATCTATCTTAGCCATCTAATATAGTGACAGAAACAGATAGCATAAGGTACATTCAACAAAGCTCTTATTTATGCGACAGTATAAAAGCTTTGCGTTCAACTAAACTGGCTTAGATCAGAGTAAAACAAGGAGTCAGGTTTTTTGTTGTTGTTTTTTTGGGAAGAGGAGGGGGGGGGGTTGTGGTGTGCCGTGAGGGTCTTCTAATGTTAAACCTGTGCCGTGGAAACACTGAAAACGATGCAGGAAAATGAACAGAGTCGAGAGACTACAATATACAGCTGCTCAAAATCTAGCTTTTCAAGACAATTAGCTTGAGCTGAGCGACTCAAGATATGTCATTTCGACCATTTTAAAGATATAAAATTAACACAACCATACCAAAGTGGCACTGTCGTCGTCGTCGTTCACTTTGAATTAAATAGTCTTTTACTTTTGAGAGGCTTTGTTGGCCAACTTTACTTTAAAAGAAGCGGCTGAAACATGAATGGGTGCTACAACGTGGTGACGTCATGTTATTTTTTTTCAACGTGCTTTATTGAACAGTTACAGAGGACAGACAAAAATCGTCCAGCCAAAAATAGCACCAACTCCGCCAGAAATCACTAGTTCGCTGCGCTAACACAGTTCAATGTGATAAAAATACACGTAACATATAATGAACAATGATGGCCCCAGTGAGCATGCTCAAAGTAAGAGACGTGGCATCTGTACAGTCAGTAAATTTAAACACAAGTAGAAAAACACAAGTAGAGAGGTGACAATTATCACGTGGAGATCAAGTAATATGATGAGTTCCGCATAAGAACATCTGCAAAAACTTTATAAAGTGTAAAAACGAAGCCAAGGGTGAGAAAACTCATGTGACAAATGATACTGCTTTCTATTCAGTCTGTTTCGCCATCCAAAAGGACTATTGCTCGTTAGGCGCTACTAAACAAATGAAATCTTCAATTGAAAATTGTACTGTTTCGCTTCACCTGCCACAGCTACACAGCACATTTTGTCTTGTGAATACAGTATCAAGAGCACCGGTTCCATCCCGTTGCCCAATTGGGATGTAAGGATCTGGTTTGGGGATTATTGTTGGTCCACCAGCTTCAGAGAAGGCATATCTGTGTCGGGGATATAATTAATACACGGTTATAATCACATTAAAATGTAAAAGCTGTTTTATTGATACATGGCAGGCCTGCTCACCTTTCATAATTCATGACAGAGTTATAATCATATGCTGTTGAGGTTGTTTGTCTCATGCTTGCGGGAGTGGTGGAAATGTCATGCCAAATTTCATAAAGATAGAGAGATGAACATTCTTTTAGACTTTTAATAGTGTTAAGAACTGTGGATTAATGTGGAACCACTGATGTAGAGTAAAATCTGTTTCAGAAAAATGGTCAACTGATTTACTGAGATTTACTGAAATAATAGACATCAAATTCATGAGCTCCAGTGTCGCCATCATAAAACCATTACCAGTAACTGTTCTACAATGTTTTAAACAACAAGTTAACATTGTTAACAGACATACACGTCGAAAAAAGTTACCTGTTGTATGACAAAGTGTAAACCAAAAATTTTCACTTGACTTGTGATCAAATTCTAAATGGGTCCATTCGACTTTCAGATCCCCAAAACTTTATTCCTCGCTGCGGGGCAATAGATGTTCCACTGTAAACTGAATCTCAACATTGCATGACGTCATCCGATACAATAGTGACATAGTGACATTCAGACATCTGTCTGAACGAGACCGCTTGTGCACAAATGGAGCGTACTCATGAACCCGTCCGTGCACAGCCATTCCTGACAACATACACCTAGGGAGACAGCCTGGCATGATCCGGTTCACCCAAGGAATGACCATCAACTTTGTGCAAAGAGATAATTCTCATCATTCTCATTCACCAGAAGACCCAAGTACGACATAGAAGAGGAATCGCATGGACCTGTATCTGTATTTCAAGGAAGTTGGCCTCATGAGAGCGTGGAACAAATTGAATACCTATTCCCAAGGAAATGTCCCCCATCTCTGTTTCTATGGTGATGATGTCCATGTTATCATCAACAGTATATTCTACTCCACATTGTCGTGTTGTTAACCTTGAGTGCATTGTGTATTTACAGCATGTAAGATTCAGCACTTTTGACAATAAGACACTTAAAGGTTCAGCATGTGTACCCAAGAGAAAAGAGTCCATCATTTTGTGTTTGGCTGGCATGGAAACCAGTCATTTTTTGGATAAAATATTGGTAAGCATATATGCGGGAAGACATTGCAGTATTATTTTGTCAGGCGTACCTCAAATGTGATCCAATGCAAGAGATGTATCAAATAATTCTACATTTGCAGAGATGTTATAGTTGTTTAAGAGATAATTATTGATCAAGATGTTTATTAGAATTTATTTGCACTGTATCATACTGAGAACGGTCTCTAATATTTTGCGCCTCCATACAACTAAAATAATCAAAAATTAGAAACACCTCTCAGTATGATTCAGTATAGTTATGCAATGCTACATCAGCTAATAATGAATTATCGTTAAATTAGCAGCTCAAAACTGAGCATTAGTATCTTTTCCAGTGCCAAATTTTTGATAAGCACTCGTAATAGATCTTCGATTATATGGGTTTTCCTAATATTTTGATCTTGCATGGGAAGGGGAAATATCATAATGTATTTCCTACTTATATTTAGCATAAAAGAGGATCATTTGAAGCTGGCGGCTAACAGGAAAAAAAAAATCATACAACCAAATCTTTAACATGTTCGCCAAGCTACAATATTTTTTCTCACCGTAATCTCAACGCTGTCGTATAAGTACTCCGATAGAAATTTGAACAATAAAGTACATAGCATTCCTTGTTGCTCTACTATATGTGAAAGGAGAATTATTTTTGAAGAAAATGAGTGTACAAGATGACCTAACTACGATCAAATGCACCAAGCTAAAGGAGCAAAAACTTGGACTCAAACTTTATTTTAAATTGCATTCAGGATTTGATGGTGCTTTTTTTTTATCACTTAAACTGTCACTATGCTGTTTCTATTCACCTCATTTATCTTCATCGCCACCTGAGGGAAGAGATCAAACGCAACATTTAACAGAAATACTTGTCATGCTGCTTTCAGAGTCGTAGCGACTTAAGAGTCCATAAATAAGGTCTGAATACTAATGTTCTGTTTGTTTGCACTCACATTGGGAAAGCCTGTTGATTTTCAACTTGTCAGTGTGACTCAGAGTTGATGCTTGGCTCAGCTTGACATGCCTGTTCTCAGGAATGATGTATGAGTAGGCATAGCTGCACAATGCACATACAAACATGTTAAATATCACAATTTAACTCAATATACAATCATAAATCTTTGTGTAAACGTCACATACCAAAATGCTAGATGGAATCATAGTTATAGGGCAGGTCCTGTGTGTCACTTTTAATTTTTTTTTTTTTTTATAGTTCCTCCAGTGATCTATTTGAAATTGAGAGAAATTATGATTGATGCATTAGTGTCATAGTTTCAGGTATAGTGAGCATGCCCTGTACTATGGCTTCTTCACACATTACAAAACATCCAGCTGTTAGGAGTCTAAATTCTACGTAGGCGTCAATGTGAAGATGTTTTGTAGTTCTGTTGTTGTTGTTGTTGTTGTGAGGCGGACTGGATTGATAGTTGTATAGAATGATATTACAGTTAATTAAGAGGCAGGGTGTGAGGTTTCCCGCTAGATGGTGCTGGTTTTCCTTGTATCCATCTTGCCATCTACTTTTGTATGTACCCTGATCCTCAGTCGCGTTATTCGCGTCAACTAAAATTGAGGAAAAATTTCCGTTAACGAAATAAAATACACATGAAAATGCTTTTTTAAAAAAGCAAAACTAACTAAAATTATATCTTCCTTTAATAAAAATATAACTATCTTCGTAGCTGGATTGTCCTTGTGAATGATAGCATTTATGAGCTTTTGTGGTTAATTTTAAATGTAATTATTTCAGTATTCGTGTCGTACAGAAAAAGAGTAGGCCAAACAGTTATTTTGAGATTGTAGTTTGCTCTACTGTGTTAGACAATACTGAGTGACTTTTTTTTATCTTGCACTCAACAAATACCTCATGTATTCAAACAACATTAAAAAAAAGCAACCTTAAACATTTTTTACAACTAATAAAATAAAATTGAAATCAAGCATGTTCAATAAAATAAGAAATAAAAAATAACAAAGCTTCTCTATAAATGAAATAAAATCACCGCAATTAAAAAAGCAATAATAAACGAAATAAAAAGTAACTACAGTAAAATGACAAATTACACGAACAACATGGCTACGTTTTGAGAAGTGTTAATTAACTCAGAGTCAGTAGTTGTAAATATCATTTGCTTGCTACCAAATGCGTTCACCCATACAGAAGTATTGTTTCACTGTATTCTGTATAAAAGGCAGAGCTGGATAAATGTTACGCCTTCTGTTACAGCAAATTTTCTATATGCTGTATTTGACCTCTTTTGACGTCAAGAAGACATCATTTATCAATTTACCTTGGACATCATTAACTTTGATGATCATATCCATCACCTCCCCTTGACCATGCTCTCACCTATTTAAAAAAGTAAGCGGCTTAAGTCAGTCCGTGTGTTAGCAGTGGAGGCAATTAACGTAGAGAAATGACCTCGGATGCACGTGGATTTCGATTTTGAGGTGACCACAAATCTCTACAAAGGGAAGGACAGATGAACTGGGATTTCTGTTCAATTTTGTTCAACTTCAAATTCAATCCGTTTCCATTTTCGATACCGTTTCATGTCCTCATTATGACTGAGGGGGAGCTTTTCTTAAATGTCATCATATGGTGGTTGGTATACACTTATGGGTTTATGCCATGTGAAATCTGACAAAATGGGGTATACTGTAATGTATTGCATTTGGATTGGAACATGATCATACACGAAAAAATTCAACGCCCGAACAGGGACTTGAACCCTGGACCCTCAGATTAAAAGTCTGATGCTCTACCGACTGAGCTATCCGGGCTCTGTAGAAACGGCCAGTAATTTATAATTAAAATACGAAGACTATGAGCTAAGATTGGATAAGGAATGTTTGAAGCCCTGGGACCTCCTTTGTTCCCAAAGAAGACTGAAATTTAAAGGCTTCGCTCTCAGCATGGACAGTGGCATCGGCTGGCACTTTTGAGTCAAGGCAGTGATTTGTTCGAGACGATTTTGAGGTGACCACAAATCTCTACAAAGGGAAGGACAGATGAACTGGGATTTCTGTTCAATTTTGTTCAACTTCAAATTCAATCCGTTTCCATTTTCGATACCGTGTCATGTCCTCATTATGACTGAGGGGGAGCTTTTCTTAAATGTCATCATATGGTGGTTGGTATACACTTATGGGTTTATGCCATGTGAAATCTGACAAAATGGGGTATACTGTAATGTATTGCATTTGGATTGGAACATGATCATACACGAAAAAATTCAACGCCCGAACAGGGACTTGAACCCTGGACCCTCAGATTAAAAGTCTGATGCTCTACCGACTGAGCTATCCGGGCTCTGTAGAAACGGCCAGTAATTTATAATTAAAATACGAAGACTATGAGCTAAGATTGGATAAGGAATGTTTGAAGCCCTGGGACCTCCTTTGTTCCCAAAGAAGACTGAAATTTAAAGGCTTCGCTCTCAGCATGGACAGTGGCATCGGCTGGCACTTTTGAGTCAAGGCAGTGATTTGTTCGAGAGATTGTCAGAAGCACTCCTCCAAAAGGTACAGTAAAAGTTAAACAAGACGTTACGAGTACATATTTTACTATGATTGCACACGTTATACACAACTATTAGATAACACCACGATAAAAACAAAAAAAAAAAAAGTGCTTTACGGGGGGGGGGGGCATCGACATGCCAGCCAGTAGAGGCGCTGTTGAAATATCTGCTTTAAACACAACAAAACGAGGAAGTAACGGTTGGCGTGTCAACTGACGTCAACGTCATGCAATAGTGTAAATTTCGTGTCAAAAATGGTAAGTCGGCTGGGCTTAAGTATGAATTGTATTCTTGATGAAATATGAATTCATCCGTGAGTAGCTGTTTTTAATGCTGGACCTTAGCCTGTTAGATATACATGCATTTATGTATTTACCTTTGGTTGGATCAATCGCAATCAATGACTAGCTCCAAGACGTGTTTTATCGTGTTTTGTCTGAAACAGCACACATCACACTGTATTTTCATTACTTGAAAGAGTTAAAATCTACACCTGCTTCCTGTCAGTCAAAGATTCTAAAATCTCAGTGCGAGTCTACAAAGCGCTAAATGTTCTTGGGACTTAAATCACGGAAGACTTTCTAGTTCACTATGAGACCCCTCACGTAGTCGTACGTCGGATGCAGGCTTATTGAGTCTTTTCTAAAGACAATGATTGAAGCAGCATCCTGTTTCAACGCGCCTCAACTGTAGAGGGGAAAAAAGGAACATTTCAATCCGCCCTGGAAACTTTATTGTTCACTTCTGCTTTTTCATAAATCAAAATCTTAATTTCATCTACAGCATCTGTTATTTCGTTATTTGAACTTGATAATCTCTGAGTTTTGTCATTTTTGTGTTAACACTTGTTTTTAATCGTTAGCTGTTTCTGTGAAGGACTGTGGTTTATCGCAAATAAACTTTCCTTGCCTTAAACGCCTCTTCCTCGTAATGTCATTCCAGGTGTTTGACATGAAACCAGTGAGTCCAGACCACTGCTCCATATTTGACTTGTCCACCCAAGATGAGGCCTTAACAGGATTTAAAGAAGTTAACTCCATCCTAAAACAAAGTGGTGCTAACGGCGAGCCGGCCTCAGAAAGTATAAAAAATGTCGTATTTGCACAATACATGTTCTGTTAATAATACTCTGTTGGCATTGTTGGACTTCATTGCTTTCAGAGTTTGAGGATGAAGCGACCAAGGATGTCAGAGAAGTCCCTGATAAGATGGCCTGCTCCGCCTGCAGATGCTCCTTCATGAACCGTGAAGAACAGGTAAACGCTTAAAACAGTTGCACCTCGGTTTACAAACTGTATTTTCAAGGGAAAATTACCTTGGTTGATGAAAATTTTTGGTTCAGGAACAGTCACGGAGTGATCATCGTAGCTCACTTGTGCTTTTACTCATGCTGTGTAAACATCATTGTCTCCATGCGGCACAACTTGCTGGTATACAATGTATATAAAATTTCAGATGGAACACTATAAGCTCGACTGGCATCGATTCAACTTGAGACTTAAGATGTCAAGGAAGCCGCCAGTTACAGCTGAGGAATTTGAGAGGAAGACTGGAGCTGGTAAGGAAAATCCATCAGTGTAGCTTACAGTTTGACATTATGTGTCGCTTCTACTCCTGCCTACTGTTTTGTACTTATCACCGTACAGGAGATTTGTCAAGTATCTCGGGTTCAGAGACTGACTCGGAGGAGGAGGAATCAGATGGGGATGAGGGCGAAACGGGCCGGAGCGCGGCTGGCGGGGATAATGACAACTCGGATGATACTAGCTTAATGACAGGAAGGCTCTCCAGCAAAGTGCTGTTCCAGGATTCAGCGGGACAGTACCTGACAGTCTATCGCTGCATTCTAAATGCAAAGGTAAGACTTAGGACGAGAGTGGAGAACCCTTTTCAGGCCGTTTACCCAATTTTCTCAAATTTTTGAAGACCCTGTGAAGATTTACGGATTTTTACTTTTATTAATTATCATTTTATTTGGTCAGTCAGATGAAGAGCAAGGTTTGGAGGTCTGCTTAAAATCCATCGACAAGAGGACACTGTGGATAATCCTTATGACAGGCGGTGGCCATTTTGCGGGCGCTGTGTTCCAAGGGTAGGCTCGTTTTTTGTCACCTTAGTAGGGATGGGTGTATCAATTGATCAAGTGATTCTTAAAAACTATTTCAGTTGTGTGGAATTGGCTGGCGATTAGTTCTGATTTGAAGGAATTGAAACAAAACGGAGTACACCAAGGTGCTGTTGTTTCATTATCAACTTGTTTGCTGTCTAAAGAAGTACAACAGGATCCAGGCCGCATTATTTTGCTCACTGCTGGCACACTGGCATGCAAACAGAAGCGCAGAACATTTAGAGAACTCTATTCGTTTATCATTACAGTTTCCCTTTCCATTTGTGAAGCCAACAGGCTCCATAGTTTTCATATTGTCCAATGTTTGTTAACATTATTGTTTTTCTTTCTCAGGAAAGAAGTCCTTCAGCACAAGACCTTCCACCGATACACTGTGCGCGCCAAGAGGGGCACCGGCCAAGGACTCAAGGATTCTCAAAACCGGAGTCACGCACCAAAGTCTGCTGGAGCCACTCTGAGACGCTACAATGAGGCAGCGCTTGTCAAGGCAACTATAACACAACTTGTGCAGTTTTACAATTTTGCCATCCTCTTTGGAAAAGGTCGCACAAAAACTCACGTTCAAACCGCCATCAGCATAGTTTGCCACTTTCGTAATTTTACCCTCGTACCATTGTTAAGACTGAACAGTTAGTTATTTTCGAACAATTTGACCTGAACAGATTAATTCAATTTCCATTATTTCTTATGGGAAAACAAATTTTGAAATATGAACAAATTAGAGGTGCACCGGTAACCTGAGATGAAATGTGTTAAATATTAGTGTTTCCTGTATGTAATCCAATCCGGGAATCATAGTGATCGCCCCACCCTGCCCCCTGGTTTCTTCATAGCTGAGTGCACACTTTTTTACGTTTTTACAGGACATTCAGGATCTCTTGGTGAACTGGAGCGATCATTTGAAGGAGGCATCTGCCATATTTGTACGAGCCCCACGCTACAATAAGGCTATCTTCTTTGGCGGGCGCACAAGTCCACTAGACAAAAAGGACTCAAGAGTCCGCAGCATTCCCTTCGCCACACGCAGGGCAACCTTTCGGGAAGTACAGCGGGTACACAATGAGCTCGCCACAGTTCATGTTTATGGTAAATTGAATTATTATACTTGTACAGTACTGTATGTGTACAGCATGTTTTTTTGTTTTTTTTTGTCAAACAAAGGTTGAATGATACAATAATGTCCACGCAATGTCTTGATCCAGGGAAGGACACTGACATGTCCAGTTTCAGCAGCGTATCAAAGAAGGCATGGAAGAAGACTGACCAACCTGCAGCCTTACTGAGGACTGAACAAGAGAAAGGCGAGTTTCGATATCAGAAACTGCTGTATTTATGAGCCTGTGCAGTTCTACACTGCTCCAAACGGCAACTACCATAATCAATATATTGCGAAAAGGTTTCTGACAGTGTCAGTCAGATCTCTACCGTTTCCCCTCCAGGACAAATTCTTTTAGATGTTGGTTTCCATTTGGGTCATTGCCAACTTTAATGTTATTAAACAAACAAACAAACAACCCCCTCCCCCAAACGAACTCAAGATGCACCTGATATTTAATACTAATACAATAAGACAAATTTCTTTTAGAAATATACACAGAATACAGTATAAGAAATTATACATCTTATACATTGAAGTTTATAAACAAGTAGCAATGTTTATATGACATTGCACTCAGAGATGAATATTGTAAATAATTAACCATATAGAATATACTAGTGGGAGGTTATTGCAGAAAAAAAATGCTTTTTCACCAGGCAGAGAACAGACTACTTTCATTTAATACTGAAATTATCATAAAAAATAAAAACATACAGAAGGTACCGTGTTGAAAATTCTCGCAATTGACAACAATGCATTTCTAATGATTTTAGAAACGTCAGAAGTCACATAGACCTTGTATTGGATCATGAAGGGTCACGAAGCGTGTTGTTATACCACTACCATGGTGAATTTCTTATTTGTACCTCGCTCGGCAGAAGAGACCCAGAGCAGCTCAGATGTGGAGGAAAGAGGTGAGATCCAGTTTGAGATGGTGGAGTCAACCATTGGAACCCAGGACCTCAAGGAGTTTGACATCCAACCCTCTAGACACCATAGGAAGAGGTGGAGGAGGAGGAAGAAGAAGGTGGAGGAAGAGGAAAACAGATGTGAAGAAAACGGTACGTTTCATAATGCAAACTCAAACATCTGGTATGAATAAATTGTAAAATTAATACAAATAATCATTCTTATTCAGACGCGGGAGACGTCAGTAACGCAGAAGTAAACGACGTCGATGAGGAAGATGGCGCCGCTCAGCAGGCACAACCAAAGAACAAGAATAGGAAGAAGAAACAACTGGAGGGTAAGTTTACATTTATCGTGGCAATGGCACCGCTAATGTTGAATCGAAATTCCAGAAGTCTGGGCTTCCCCGCTAAAGCTGTTGACCCCGCGACCCAACCCCGGATAAGCGGTAGTGCTTATACGAATGGATGGATGGATGGATGTTTTAGCATTGTTGTCTAATTCCAGCAAACAACAAGATGATGAGCGGCGTGTGGCTAGCTCACCTGCAGAACTACTAAGGACAAGCGCTATTGAAAATGGATGGATATTTCATATCGCAGAAATGATTTTGTTTCGTGCTTGCATTGTAACTAGCATACAGATGGATGTTTTAGCATTGTTGTCTAATTCCAGCAAGCAACAAGATGATGAGCGGCGGTGCGGCTCTACTAAGGACAAGCGCTATAGAAAATGGATGGATATTTCATATTGAAGAAATGATTTTGTTTCGTGCTCGCATTGTAACTAGCATACCTTCTCGTCCAATAGAAGCAACGGAGGATTCATCATGTGAGTACAGCCTGAGGGATGCCCTCTTCACAGCCTGCAAGGTTGGGGACGTAGCTGCCTTGTGCCATCTCCTCCATCTTTCCGATGAGCCTCGGGAGCTGTCAGTTAGAGAGGCTGTAGACACCGACAGTCCTTTGACTATTCTTAATAAGCACATTGACTCTTCGGGGTTCACTTTGCTGCATGTTGCATCAGCAGCTGCTCAGAAGGCTGTGGTCAGGCTGCTGCTGGATGCTGGAGCTGACCCGGCATGCAGGTAGGAATATCATTTATTAGAATTGTTTTTTTTGTTGTTGTTGTTGTTGTTGTTTTTAATCCCCCCAAAATTGAGTGTTTATCTGATAGAAGTTTGAAGGGAGTATTCATCCATTTTGGGAAAAGGCTGTAACACAAGGTTCTCCCACAGTGATTACAAAGGGCAGACCCCATATAACGTCAGCCCCGACAAGGACACGAGGAACGTGTTTCGTAAATACATGGGTGACAATCCTGACAAGTATGACTACAACAAGGCTCGGGTAAGAAGGTTAGCACGTCAACTTTGACACATGCATGCAAATGAAACAGAATTGGAGTATCTCCGCTCCCGAAAGGTACCCGGGCCATTAACGGCGGAGATTGAATCAATGAAGACGGAGAAGAAAAAGGCTCAAAAGGCGCTGAAAAAATTACGTGAGAAGACACAAAAGGAGGAGAAGAGACAACAGCAAATGGAACTGGAGGAAAAGAAGAAGTTTGCATCTTTATCGGATCGCGAAAAGGTGACTTCTTGGACATATGTCTATTTAAAACTCATTTTACCTGTAATTCCAGCATGTCGCAAATGTTTCTTTTTTGAACACCAGAGAGCTTTGGCAGCTGAGAGGAGGTTGGCAGAACAAGTCGCTGCAACTGGAGCCAGCCTCTCCAACATCAAGTATGTGTCCATATCCACAAGGTGACGCAAAATGTCCACCAAATGTCAGTTTTGTCCCTTTTTGTGTTGCTGAACGGTCTATTACTAGGAGGTGCTGGCTGTGTGGAGAGTCTCTGCTTGGCAAGATCCCATTCCAGTACCTGGATTTCTCCTTCTGCAGCCCTCGCTGCGTGCAAGCACATCGCAAAGTTAATACTCCAGCAGGAAAGAGCTAAAGACTCTAAAAGGAAGGTACTTCTTATATGGCTCTGCCCCTTTGAGGTTGGTCAAAGATCAAGTGTAATCACAGATCTGTGTTGAGCACAGAAAGTACAGATTTAAACCGCATCTCTTTTGTAAAAATACATGAATACTCTTGATAAAAGATTCATTGTTACTCTCAGGGGTAAAACTAAATTGTCATTGCATCAGTGTTGGACTGTCAAGTGCTAAACTATGAAGAGCAAAACGGAGACACAATGATTATTTGCAAACAAATTTTATTGGTTTGAACATGAAATATCTTGTCTTTGTCGTGTGTTCGATTAAAGATAGGGTTGAACATGATTTGCAAATCATTCATTGTATTCTGTTTTTATTTAACACAACGCCCTAACTTCCTTGGAATTGGGTTTGTACAAAACAACAGAGGTCAAGGTAATACAATCTTAAAATGGACGCGACAAGCATGGACTGTGTATTATTGTCACGACTTATCAGCAACTTTGAGCAGAGGTCGGTCCATGAAGAGAAGCCTTAAATGTACTGGCGCCTCTTCTAGCTCCAGCACCGTGATGTTGTTGGGCAGGGTGGTACTGAGCAGGGGTCCGGGAACATAAAGGGTCTGCTGCGGGCCCCTGGCTGGCCAGTATCGCCCCAGATTTACACCATTGATCCAAACCTGACCCTAAAAAAATAATAATAATAAAAAGTGGATCAAGATAGGCAAGTATATATTTTTAACCGTGTCATACTACCTTTTTCCATTCATTTAGCTTTAGAAAAGTGTCCCACGCTACACCACTGGGCTGCAATGTTCCCATGTAGAAGGTTGGTCCAATAGAAGGTCTGTTTGTTTCTTCGTGCAGCCTAAGCGTGTGAGGCCAACCAGCAGCAATGGCGCCGTCAATGTCCAAAGGGTACATCTTCCAGTCGGTTAGTACATCTTGGCCCAGGATTAGGTTGCCGATGACACCCTGGAATTGATGCAATTCGTTCTTGAAATCATTTTGCTCAGGTTATCGGAGCCTTTCCTTAATGGTGTCTTCTATAATAGACACCGTGTTTCAATTAGATGCTTGATACATCCTCCAGCTGTCTAAATAAATGGCTCTGCTCAAGCAGATGCATCCCTTTTTCCCCTCAGGAAGAAACAGATGTGATTCTCAATTCAAAGATGACCCAAGGGTTAACTCCATCGCTAACCAAAACAGCAGTCCTAAAACACGAACTGTCAGATTAGTCCGTTTTGAATACGATATTTGGTTAGTTTAGTTTTACAATGCCTGTCAAGCACATTGCATTTGCCAGACTTTCAAGTTCATAGGACAAACAATGTATTGTAGCCTTGCCTTGTAGTCATTAATATGGCTCCCAAAGTTAACTCTGCCCATATTCTCCACAAGGATGTCCATGATATCCCCCTGCCGTCCAGTAATGTTCATCACCAGTATGGTGTCTCTCTCCAATAGACCCTGGAAAACCTGTTTACATATTTTAAAAAATAATAATACTCAACAATGATTTGACTTTGTATTGTAACACTAGTTCATCGTGACTCAGGGCTTACCCCGTTGACGGACACATACGCACGGTCACGAATGCCATTCAAGGGAGAAATGAGCAGCGTGGGCTTTGTAAGGTCCCGGGGTAATGTGGTCTGATACAGCACGAATCCATAGAACTGAACACAGATGACGCATTAGTTATGAGACACACCAGCAGCCAGGGGACTTCCCTCCGTGACAAGAGTGACGCTACCTGTTTGAGCTCCTCAAAAGTCAAAGGGTATTTCGATTGAACGGGCCCCACAGAAAATGTGTCCAATAGACTGCTGATGTTGCCCACCTGGGGAAGAAAATGTTTGCGTGAAAGGCAGCGCATCAAAAACCTCCCTGGAAAATGTGTGATTGTCATCTATAAAATCAATTAATGTACAGTTGCAAACTAGGATCTGAATAGGCTTTAGCTTTACAGATTGCTATTAATAATAAAGGAGTTATCTGGAAGCTATAAATATCAAAATGATAAAATAAAAAGAAAAAGACGAAATATTTAATTCTGTGGGCTGAGTTTCACTTTTTAAATACGTGACTGAAACACTGCAAATGAATTTTAATCCAATTCACTGAGATGCACCTGCGTATCCAAAATGGCTTCCCAGAAAAATGATACCCAATACAACTTGTGGTTTGACAAATAACAAAATGCTTGTAGGAGGTATTTAAAAAAAAAAACAAAAAAAAAACGTACCTTTGTTAGCATAACAAAGCCATAGGCAAATTTGGGAGTAGCAGGTGGCATGGGTCCAAAGGGAATGGCCTTAAACTGCAGCGACAATAACACAATGTTGTGTCTCACTATGTGTACAAGCGTAGGTGGTACATCAACACGGTGTAGGTGGCGTGTAAATCCATCATGCCGTTTTAATGACATCTCGGATGGCCAGCAGCTTCTCTGTTGGATCCCCCGCCTCTGAAAGTGGGGCGTCATAGTCGTAACTCGTCACCACCGGACGGAACTTGGTGTCGTGGTCAGCACCTTAGCACGAGGAGTGACGAGAGATGAGTGAACAAAGAAACACGGACATGACTTTAAATATTGTAATTACAAGCAGTGAATTGAAACCGCACCATTCCAGTAGCCAAAGTTGGTCCCTCCTTCAAACATGTACCTGGGGGGGGGGGGGGGAGTAAAAAGTCATTATCTAATTGGAATGCAATTTGTGTATGTAATTCAACCCTATTTCATTAAAATGTCTGAAAACATTTGCCTGTATTAGGGTTGGTCAATTAATCAATTTCATCAATGGCTTTGAATGTATTTGTCAGGACGTGTTTGTGTGTGGCTTCCATAGTTCAGAGCATGTCCCAGCTGACATGTACAGTCACTGTTGTCTTATCACAAGGTTCCATTTCATAAAAAACGATTACATCAACATGTTCCTTTCACTTAAATTGATCAGTCATCATTGATCATATTTTATTATTTTTTTTTCCATGTCAAGTTAAATCCTTCCATAAGGAATAACTGGAACAAGATATAAAGTCCAGAAAATGTTTAACCCTTCAGTTAGATTTTATAATACAAAAAAAAAAAACAATAAAATAAAATAAAAAAAAACATAGCATGCAACCCCCCGCCCCCCCAAAAAAACACAAAAAAACTGATTTTGTGGGAGTTGAATAATTTCAAAGCCTTTTTGGTATCAGGAGGAAAAAGGAAAATCTCAGAAGTGGTAAGACAGAGCAAAACTTTTAAATCTTGCCATCGTCACTTAGTGGGAAAATTGAATTGGAAGTCCAAATTTTGGTGAAAGGAAATCAGACGTTTTAATATAAAGCCTTATTGCGCAGCCCTAGCTAAACTAAATTGTTTTCAATTTCAAACAAAATAGAGGTCTACGAGCAGGAGAGATTGTGTTCGACCTGAGGTTCTACTGTAGGCAAAAAAGTATTGTGTTTGTGTGGACGTACATGTTAATGTTAGCGCCCATGTTTAGCATCTCTGCTAAACCTCTGCTGACCTTCTGAGTATCAACCATGGCATGCTCATCACCCCAGTGGTCCAACCAACCAGTGTAATACTCCGAATTGACCTGCAGCGTCATCAAAAACACATTTCACTTCTGTGCTTCTGTACACGTCGCGACACACGGCAACTTTAAATTTCTATTACAACTCACCAAAGGACCTCGCGGCTCAAACCGCCTTTGCCTGTTGAAGGCTTCAGTGATGTTGTCACCTAACAGGAAAGAGACAGCACAAATTTTGGAGTTTCTATTAAAGACGCTCTACATCAAGACAATTCCCCAAAGGTCAACCTGTGCCAAAGTCCACAGTGGCGTATAATCCCTCCAGAGTCCCGCATGTCATTTCCTTGTCCGTGTTGCCATCAGTGGTGAAGAGGACGGTGCCTTTGCCCAGATAAACTTGCAGCACAGTTCGTAGGTGACGCATATAGTTGTGGTCACAAGCGTAGTCGCTTCCATACTCGTTCTCAACCTGACAGTGACAGTGGGAGCCAGAACGGATTTGGAGGTTCCACTGTACCTGGGGGGCCTTCAAGGAAACTACTGCAGTTCTTCCTTTACCTGGACACTGATGATGTTTCCGCCATTAGCATACAACCAGGGTGTCATTTTGGGGAGGAGAACAGCAAACCAGTTAGTGACCGCCTGCAAATAAACTGGACAACAAAAGTAATTTCAAGCAACCGAGCAAACAAAGAAATTTGTATTCCTACATGTTTGTATGTTGTACCTGGATCAGCAGAGCGTAGTCTAATGTTGTTTCTTTGGAGTAACCATGCTGGCAACCCACCCTGTAAGAGAAAAATCCAGCTTTGGTCGCTGACGTAGGGTCAGACAGCGAGGAAGTTTTGGCATTGGTTTGAAGCTTTGTGATGGTGACAGATTGACTTGAATCAATCTATCCTATGGGATATTTCAAAATTCAATCAAATCAGAGGTTGGCCACATATGAATCGATGGTGTTTGACATAAGAGCCCTCCATACTTAACAGTTTTGTAGAATTTAACAAAATACAAACAGCGATTTCTCACCATCTCCCATTCAGCACAGATATATGGTCCTGGACGCAGAATCACCAAAAGATCCGTCTGATTGGCCAGATCCAAGAAATGCTCCAAATCTCTGTCCCCTGTGAAGTTGTGGATTCCTTCAACTGTTTCATGGAAGTTCCAAGGAACATATCTGCATGCAGAGATGAAAAAAAAAAAACAACCATCAAATTGGTAGACACTATTGACCTCAAAGCTGTTTGTGATACATCAGGCTTACATTTGGATGGCGTCAAGTCCCGCCATGTACATCTTGAGCAGCCGATCCTTCCAGTAGAAGCGTGGGATTCGGGAGTAGTGAATGCTGCCAGAGATGTACTGAAAGGGATGCCCATCTTTCAGGAAACAATTGTTTTTATAGTCTATTGTGAAGGATCTCTCAGACAACTGCAAGACAAGAACATGTTCTGAAAGTTTGACAGGTTTGGTTCGAGCGATTTATCAAATTTTTTTTCAATTAGTCTGAGTTTGAAAAAAGATGTTTTGTTGTTGTCATTTGCTAGCAAGGGGGGGGGGATATGTCCTTTTCTGCATATAATTAGAATATTTGGAAAGGCCCATTTTGAACACATGAAATAAGAATAAAGCGTAGCAATTAATAACTTCTAGCATTGTTATAAACCCAGAGCTAGGTCAAACTAATTAAGATGATTGCCTTGATTGATTGGTTCCTTGAAGAAAAGCTAAAGCTACACGTTGCACGTTCGATCTTACCCCATGGGCAGTAGAACACGCACAGCTCACTGTGACGAAGAACAAGACACTCGCGTACATGTTGGCTGCCGATTGCCGTCCCCCTCTACAAGAGCTAAAAATTGTCCATTTCTAGTGTGTTAAGCATTATAGTGTGGTTTTAGAGGACGTAGGCTCAGCAATTCAAAAAGTATGAACATTCTAGTTTCATGTTTCCGAGGGGGACCATGCGCCATCATGTGACTTATATGGCCGTAGGACTGGAGCTAGTAAGTAGATAATTTTTTTAAGATCCTGTTTGTGCGTTAATGTCGCCATTTTGGATGTGGCTCATTTGGGCGATCGGATATTAATCGCAATTGTGTGTTTCTTGGAAATCTACAAACTTTTACAGCGATAGCTAAATTTCATAAGATGGCCTTTCATAGGATAAATTGAACAATTATTTTTGATGAACGTTGTTCGGGTACAGTGTCTTAACTTTATTTGAGATTGTAGCTTTTTGTTTTTCCACAACGATTTACTTGAAAACAGGTACAGTATCTGTACTTTACACTGACTCGTGGCAAATGTATTGCCGAACATCACCCGCCACCACCAGATTCCCTAATCAAAATTCTTTGTAATCTAAAACAACACACAACCGTGAGTGGTGTGTTTTTCAGTTAGCATGAGCTCATTTAGCATTTGTTGTTTTTCTAAGACGGGACCTGTTGCAAGTTCACGCCTGATTTTTTTTTACTCATAACTTAGTTTGCAGCAAAGCCAGTATTTCCCCCTTCTCAGTATGAGAACTATGCACGTTATAAAAGAGGAAAAATATTTTGTGTGCAATGTTTTTGTTCGTTTTCATGGTTCCAAGTTATATAGGTATTGTACAGCATATATCCATCCATTTTCTATACCCTTTATCTATTGACAGTTTTCACCCTTATCCCTCAAGTACATTTCAGAGTACGTACACTGAGTTGAATAAGTACTTTTACATTTGCCTAAGTATTTTCTTGCTTTCGGAGTAAAGTGACAAAAGTTAGTGTGACATTTATTATATTAAAATGTACACTCGTTTTTTCTGCCTGTAATTTCCTAAATACAGAATATTAGTACAGCATGTTCGTATGTGAACAGGTGAATGAGCTGCTTTAATTTTTGGCGTCTTGTAGGTTGTCGCCATGGCCCGAGGTGACACATGCAACATGGCGGAAGCGCTTACGCATCCCAGCAATGGGACTGCACAATTTTAAAATGTATTTTTACGACGTTAAATTTTTTTTTAAACAAACTACGAAATCCCCCTTATACTGAATCAATATGGTGAAATTATTATGAAATAAATAATATTACATTTGTAAAAGACCAAAGCCATGACTTAATCCGTCACGGGCACAGGATGGCGCTCAAGTGACACTTGTGGGGTACAGTAAAATTCTGAGTTGACATAAATCACACCGGGCATCAAACCTATGAAAATATTTACGAGTTCTCTTCATAGATGTACAGTACTGCACTACCCACAACGAAGGGAATTAATCATTTCAACCATTAATACAAAAATAATTTTAAATGAACCATAAAGTTTTTTTTTCTTTTTTACCTCAATGACATGGCCCGTTTGTTCGATTCAAAAATGTAATTTGGCTCTTGAGCACAACAGTTTGACCACTTGTGGGCAAACCATTTGGTCACCATGCTGCGCATGATGACGTAACACCCCTGCTAAAATAATCGCACCACTGAGGAATCCAAATCAAATTTAGAAACAAGAAGAGGTCACCGGCTACTGTAAACCTTGGAAATAACATTTGTTCTCTCAGAAATAATAGATTGCAGTGTGTGTCGAATCAGCAGTTATTTGAACGTTTGTAATCCTCTGACATTTATGCTAATTTCCGTTGGATCGTAAACGGCGTTTGGTATTTTATGTTAGCATCAAGCCAGTAGACTTTTGTATCATAACCGAAATATGGTATAATGTTTAATTCTATGTTTTATGCTTTGTGTGTGTTACTGCTCCAATGTATGTTAAAGGTGCAGTTGTTTGTAGGCTTGTAATTATTGTAATACACTGTATTCATGTGAATTTCCATTTGTCCATATATTCCTTTTGCAGTATGTGCTAGCATTAAGATAGTGGACTCTCATTCGATAAAATTATGCTTTGATGAACATTTTGATGCTTAAATATGTTTCTTTGTCCTTTGTTGTTTGTGTCAGTTTTACAGTTAACTTCAACTTGATAAATAGAAGATGTGAGAGGAACTGAAACGGGGATCCACGATATATGTTGCCAGATACTCTTTTATGTTTAATCAATGTAGATGACATAATTTCTTACGCGCCGTCATTGCTGATCAATGAGAACGATGCCATACTTTTTAGGTGTCATTGGCAATCAATGATGGTGGCGACATCCTTAGAATGCTTGGATCATTTCAGCTGGTTAACAATAATGAGATGTGTTGGGGATGACACATCAGCCTTTTTCTGATGGTTCATTGTGAGACTGTGAAGGAAGTATTGTGTGACGAAGGAGGAAGAAAAACGTGTGAGAATACAACCATAGGGGAAAGCACATACAAGTAATATAGAAAGTAGTTGTGAAGCATCAATCTGCCAAGGCTTTACATAAAACCCTCCAACTTTGTACTTTACTGTTTTTCATTGTCATACCCTTCAATTTGTTTCTGAGAAAAGCGCTCAGCATAGATTAATAATTCAATTTATATGTGTCTGTGGTTCACCTTTATTACAGCTGCATGTCATCATACATTTTATTACCAATGATAGGACTTGACAAATGGTTGCAGCTCCTGTCATGAGAAGATCTGTGGTTGGGTGTGGTTGTTTTTCACTATTCTCAGTTCTCTCAAGGTTGGCAGTAAAGTGCATTTATCTTTTTTTTTTGTGGAGAGGGTTGGGGGGGGTGAACTCTTAAAACCCTGCCCTTCTTCCTTTTCTCGTGGTGTTTTCTACGAGCATATGAAAATTTTCTAATGTAGAGTTCTGGAACTGAACTACTTAAAGCAGTGGTACTGCAACCCATTTTCAACACATTCTTTTCTGAGGCTTGTGTTTTGAAATGCAAAAAAAAATAATAATTGCTAGGACCGTGTAAAGTGAAATCATTGAGTTGTTCCTACCTTGGCACAACAAGCACCTGTTGGGAATTTTTCCTTTAAGCTTCTTGTTGGAGCAATTTGGAGCATAAATAGTGGAGTCCCCCCGCCCTCCAACTCATGCTGCTCCAGTCCGAGCTAAACATTGTTGCATAAACTAATAAAGCCTGCTGGTCAGATGAGAGGTAAAACGTCTCTGAAGACAACCAGAACAGAAGCAACCGATTCAATGTCCTGAGAATTTAATGGCTTAGAAGAATGATAATGTTCATAGGCATGCTCCTTGTTCAAGAAACAGTACAGAAACATTGAACAGTTAGATTGTGTGCATTTAAAAACATTTCAAGATAAAACATTAGAAGACATGAAATTTCAGGGAATCCACAAAAAAAAAAAAAAAACATTACAGATGTAATGTTTTAGTGTGAAAATGCTTCATTTGATTATTGTTGTTCGCTGTGACTGATTTGGCTGTCTTGCCAAAATGCCACGAAAACATGCCTGCTCAATTTCATTCTGCACTATGACAAATGTCCATGGATTTTGAATCGTCCTCAGTTTGAATGCAATGTTTTTACCAAAGATTTCAAGTTCATCATCTTTTTTGTCCATTGCCAGAGTCTTCTTAAGTGATTTGACAAAATCCAGCACCATTTCTTCTTGAGATTCTCTTTTTTCTGAGTCGCGTAACCCCCAATGTCGATTTGATTTCTGCTTCCTCTGTAACAATCCCTGCTGACATGTCCAAGTATGCAATCATCGATTCCGTCTCCGCCTTTATCGATTCCATCACCGCCTTCACGGATTCCGTCTCATTTGGAATTTGATGGACGTTATCCTTTTCTTCACTGTGAATCTGAAATAGAACCAGATGTTTATCCGGGGCGCAATGGTGCATGTAAACCCACTGTATGGTCTCTATCTGTTTTAAGGCCTTGGTTTCGGTTCAGTTTCTAATACTGGTATCCATAAATGCAAAATTCAACTGTCATTGGTGTATACATTTAACAGTTATTAAACACAACACTTTCAAATGGTTAACTGCATCATATTCAATGGCTACATGTATACTGAACAACTCCCAGAGTATAAATTACTTTTAAAAAACATACAAAAATATAAACAAAGAAAGTTGCAGTGCCTCTGCCTTAAACATTTATATATAACAGAATATTGAACATGAGCAGAATAACCCTCCTTGTCTTACCTATCTGCGAATTATTCAATATTACTTATTCATTTATTTTGACAGGCATTGATAAGGCAGTCAGCCTGCAATGTGATAGGATCAGTTATTAAGTGTCCTTCGGTCCCCTAAAAGGCACTGAATTGGATTTAAGCTATTATTACTGTAAGAATTGAATGAGATATTATATTTATTGTATATTAATACATGTTTAGTGAAATTCACATATCCTTGCAGATGAATAAAGTATCTGCCTGGAGCGTGAGGCGAAACGCTGACGTAATCAAGAGATGACGTCCCCTGTAGTTGTTGACTATGAAGAGAAAATAAGCGAAATAATAACAAATAGATAAAGAGTGACTTTATAAGCCACTCCACTTCTGACGCTATGTCATTTTTATTAATATATTCAAAGTTACATCTATTAATACGTTTTAACAGTAATGCTAAACAAATGCTGGAATACGTTTTAACAGTAATGCTAAACAAATGCTGTACTTGCATTATTTTCAACAGTAGCCACGGTTTTCGTTTCTTCAGTCCTTTAACGTGATTAACATAAATATAGGTTAGTTTAAAACCAACAGGAACTATAATTACCTGATGTATCAAGCGCCGACGCCATTGACATCAACGCGTCCCTTTTCGTGATTCTGTTCGTGTATCCTTTGGCACAACAGTCATACAAACACAGTCGTGCGCGCCATAATGTGTTCCAACTTTTCCTCTCTTTCGTCCAATATGCATTCATACAAACACAGTCGTGCGCGCCATAATGTGTTCAACTTTTACTCTCTTTCGTCCAATATGCCTTTTTTGTTGTGGAAACAAGCACTTCCGTCATTTTCTTCTTCGTCTGTGACTTGAACAGCGGTTGGCAATCAACAGTTAAATTCATTACTGCCACCTCCTGAACTGGCATGAAACTACGTCACAATTAAGATGAAATAAAATGCCACCTACTGGACTGGCATGTACCTACGTTACAATTAAGATACAATACGATTATCGATATTAAAAGCATGTTCATTTTCTTACTAATGTCATATTGTGCAGAAGGTAACCATTAACGATTCATATTATTTGCTTGCATTACTCCGGATTATAATCTACCCCCGTATTGTTCAAATGTTATTCGTACAACCATCAAAGTTAACACCCTGTCTTCGTGTGGTTGGTGTTCCCCCATTTAGTAACTCCTTAATTTATCTGTGTCCAATTCTATGATAGCGTAATTTTTTTTTCTGCTGCTTTAACAATTCTCTTTATTTCTTCTTGTTTGTTTTTGCTGAGCAATTCATTACCTTGATCAAAAACAACTCCCACAATCAAAAATCCTCTCTTCCACTTGCCTCATTGGTCTCATGCCCCTGCATTGTTTTACTAATTGTTAGTTGGTTTGTTATTTGCTTGTCTTGTTTTCCCCCCCATTTACTTTTTTGTCTGATTCAGGTAATGTTAAACCCTCAATTTTTAATCCCCTGACCTCGGCTTTCTTGCCTCACATGCCCCGTAAAGCCGAGCTGTGTTCCCCTCCACAGTTTGAGCATTTTAGCAGAGTGCGAGTAGACAGCAAAACAACACCCAACCTCACTCCAATCATTCAGTCAGTCACAAACCATCACTGAGAAGTGGCCGGGCCATCTGTGTCCACCTGTTGATTGACATGTCATCATAACAGAAAATTGCCAATATCATTTTAAAGCACATCATTACTTTTGTTAGTGTGGCAGTGTGATGTTTCCATATGTATGTAGTTGCATTGAGAAGAAGCCGCAAAGAACTACCTGGCTTCTGTGGGTGGCACTTGTCATATATTTTAGTTACTCCACTTCAACCCATTCAGTCCATTAACACTCAACTTTTTTTCAACCCGTATGTGGGATTATTGAATAGTGCAGAAACACTGAATCAGAATCACGGGGTGATAATGATAATGATTCTTCCTTTTGTCTGTCCCAATTTTGTGGTATGGGGGGCATGGGACATTTAAAAGAGGTTGTTATTTACCGGTAGTGCAAGTTTTGACCCCAGCGCTGCTACCGGGAAATATTTTGAAAAGTCTATCCACCTTTAATTTGTGCTGCATTCTATATTCATGACAGGAGGTAGATGAGTCCGATGGCAAATTTTGGTTTTCATCAATTATAAGCTATAATCATCCAAATAGTGGTTACTTGACATGCAACTTTAAATTCTTCCATTGTCGAAACTCAAAGCACATGTATTGCAAATAATTGTTCCTCACTGACATGAGTGGAAATGACAGTAATCCATCCCAGCCACCTAAAACAATTATTTTTGTAATGCACTTTAATATGTATAATAGCACTCCATAATATTGTACTTGATAAAACATACGGTAATAATATAATTAAATACATTGTTAAAAAAAGCTGCTTGTGTATCATGATTAATTCAATGCAGCTAGCTCTAGAGGGCATGTGACTTGGCTACTGTACTGTAAGTAGTGTACTGTCATACAGACAAGAAGAAGACTTTCACAACTACTTTAACACTGTACTCACGTTATTTTTTGATCAATCCTCATCCACAAATCATAAATTCACGCTTTGTGTTCAAATATCTCATTGCTTAATGCATTATAACACCAGCACATTGATGCTGTTCATTTGCCCATCAATGGTGTTTCCCATTATTCCCATAATGTGTTAGCATTAAGTTGGCAGATTTAAAGACAAAGTTATGTGTTTGTTTAAAATACACAAGGTCTCATCATCTTTTTCATGTTTAGTTTGACAGTGAACCTGAAGAATTGCTCACAATCTGCCCAGCTGCTTTTTGTTTGAAATTGAAAAAAAAATCATACTTATTGTAATATTTTAGTTCAATTTTTTTTTTAATTAAACTACCAAAATAATGGCGTTTTTCACGTTATTTCAATGCATTGCCATGCACCTGCTTATATATGTATCGTGTGCATTTCTCTGTTACACATAAAAATTTGATTTAACCCTACAAGGTTCCCGAGTTGGCAACAAAACATCCGTACACATGCAAAGTACACACACTTGGCCATGAATCCCTTGCACTCACTCACTCACTCATCGTGGCACATGATAATGTGCAAATATTACAGTCAGTGCAGGCTCACATTGCGCATTCTACAGAGGGTAGCTATGCACCGCAGTATAGTTTAGTGAGCCTCCATGCATACATACAACCTGTTTAAAGTAATCATTGCATTGCCTTTAGCTTATATGCAACGCAAGATGGAGGGGGGTGAATGGACTGGGGGTCAATGGATGCGGGGAGGGAGCAAGAGGGGGGAAGACAAATGTGATGTGTGGACCATGAGCATAGATGAATATATCATCTTCTGGATTTGTTGTTGGCTGTGTCGAAGAATTATTTTTTTCTCTATTCAAAACAGTTTGGTGTTTATGGATTTTGTTACCATGATGGCCTGGGGCAGAGCAACAGGAACACAAAGTAAAATAAAAATCAACTAACTGACAGCTCGTAGTTATAAAATCTTGTTATTTGGGCCACTTGTAAGTCAAGGTACCACTGTCCAAGATTTATGTGGTCATGCAGTTTCATACTTGTCTGGGCAGACACTCCAGAAGCCAAACTATTTGTCAGCAAGTCATTGTGCAATTTGAACATTAACACTGTGTTTAAATATAGGAAATTAACAAAAGCAAACTATTAAATAATTATTCAATTAAAATATATTTCATATCAAAGTTGTCCTGAAATAAATGTTTGAAAACAAACAGCAAATATTATAATGTTAAATACAACTGAACTGTAAAGGTAAAGAGAAAAAAAAAGAAAAAAGTAACATTATGCAGCGTTTCAACATGTAATTCAGTGATTCTTTCACATACCACTAGAGGGAGTCCAAGTATCACTAGCATACCACACTTTTGAGATTCGCTGGGCTATAGAGAAACGAAACAAAGAGCAAGGATGGCACTCTTTGTAATAGGAAGGCTGTGGCCTAAACCGTGATTGTGGAGATGCGCAGGTTGACGTGTCGCATGCGTGTTCGCATCACAGGGGAAAATTAATAAATGGAAGGAATAATTCACACAGAGGAATGCACTACAGGGTGTGGCAAAATAGGGCGAGATGCCGGGGTGATAAAGAGTAATGAAAAAGTGCACCAGTGGGAGGGAGCTGAGTGGATGGATGGCTGGGGTGAGTAATAATATGTCGTCGGGAGCGAGGGAGGAAGGGAAGAAGAGAGGCAAAGTGTGGCCGATGCAGGCTGATGTATGATGGCGGCTGCGGGTGGAGGGATGGTGCAGAAAGCGAGACGAGAGCAAGGGAAAACAAGTCATGGCAATAAAATGGTGTTTGGGAATACTGATGCAGGATTACCCCCCACACTCTCGCCACACGCGATGACATTAACAAATTGATTGCGATGTAAAATACTAACAACTACATTTATGTTTACCAGCGAAACGCACGATACACGAGCAACTTCTGTGGTCAAATTAAGATGTCGGGAGTAGTTGTCATATCATAGGGGCTTGAAGGGAAAAAGTGGCAGCCAACACTTTAACCCTCTGCATGCAATGTTCTAATTTTCATTTTTCAGCATTGGATAGTTGAACACAACTTGTGAAGCAACACACGTAGATTGATAATAAAACAATGCTCACATGCTTGTATTTTTTTTTCCTTTGCAAAACATGACTTGTATTACTGCAGCTTACTGAGTCTGTAGTGAACACTCCCTCCCAAGTGTGCACACCTGAAGGAGCAACACAATGTCTATTGAATTGAAGCAAAAAAAAAGTGTCAAAAACCTTCTCTTGCATTTTATTTAATCATGTCATATGTATTTGACTTTACATAGATCTGATCAGTTGTCTCCAAATCGGCAATCGGTTGTAATGTCATTATTTGCAGATCGTTCTAGAACGTTATTGTTCGGATCTGCAAAACAAGACATTACAGAAAACGCAACCTGCTTTACTCCGTGGACATTCTGTGCTGCTTTTGTTGATAATCCAAGGTTTTTTGGCATATACAGCCCGATTTTTTTTCAAAATCGGGTGGGGGGGGGGTTTCCGGGTGTAGGTTCTTCTCTTAATACCGACGCTGAGGTTGCTCCATTCTATTGGGATCAATGCTGCAACAAAAACCAAAGAAAAGCTGAACATATTCTCAAAAACTGATTTATGTTTAGCGGGGGCGTACAAGCCATTCCTAAACAACAACAACAAAATTTCATTTTTCTCTCCTGCATCACAGTATACACTGCCTGCCCTGAGTACCGGCAAACCAAGTCAGTGAGCAAACTGACAGACTAGTGACGCATAAGTGTCTTTCTGCTTAATTAATATTTCCCCGGCCTGTTGTTCTAATCTCCTTGCAGAAATTAGGTTCAGTCAATCTAACACAATGGGACTCATTAGCAGCGAGAAGGGATAACCACTCCCAATGAAACCACACGTGTCGTAAATAAGTCACATATGAATGGTTGCTTTCCTTCCATGGAGTCATTCACCAACGTCATTAAAAACTCAAGGTAGAATGTTAAAATATAGGTAAGTAGTACATTTAGTATTTACACGTGGACAATTACGAATTGCAATACCAAGCAAGGCTGACGGAAGGTAGACACTATTAATCAGATTGTATTAGCTCCATATTATTTCCCCAAATGATCTGCAGGGCTGTCAAGCTGAAAAACTAAATCAGAATGTCATGAATTTATCTTTTAAATTATGAAAGCAGTACCCTGAGACTTATTACTTTTCAGTGATTTCCCTCTTTATCAACAGGAATTCTGATATCAGATTGTCGAAGGTAATAATCCACACACCTTTCATCACAGCCTCCAGGCAATAGGCAATCTTTATTATCAGCGCATTCATCCAGAACAGA